GATTGTTGTACTGATCGCATGGGCACCTTCGGTTAGAAGGTCTTACATGCAAATTGGGTAGATTCTCCTTTAGATGAACAGATTCTCCTTTAGATGAACGATCTACTACAAGATATTGTACTTTTTTGGGAGGTAATCTAGTCACATGGAAAAGAAAGATACAGACGATGGTAGACAATGATCCACACATGTAGTGAGCTACAACACTTCCTCCAAAAAATAGGTTTTCTAACTCAAACTCAGCTACGATTGTTTTGTAAAAATCAAGCTATAATTCATATAGCTTCTAATCTTGTATTTTATGTATTAACAAAACATACTGAGCTTGATTACCACTTTGTTTAGGAAAAGGTGTTCCATGGAGACATTAACACACTATTTGTCAAATCTGAGGATTAGTTTGCTGATATGTTTACCAAAACTTTGAGTTCTGCTCAATTGAGAGATTTGTTTTAAATCGAGATTATATGATATTTATTCACCAACTTAAAGGGAGTGTTAATTTGCAAAAAAAAAAAAGAAGGGGTGGGTTAGAATATAGAGTGGCATTTTTGTAATAAGAATATATGTCTAGGGGTAAACAAGCCTTTTTGTTATTGACACATACATATATATAAATGAGGTAAGGGAGGTGTGTGGTTGACTCTCTCTTTTGCCTCTTCAAGATGTCTCCTCTCAAACCATAATAACTTCTATATTGCATTCCCAGTAAGAAAATACATTGAATGACATTGAAAAATTTGGCTAGTCAATCTAAAATTATGAAGTGCAAAAGATGCCTAACCTCCTCCCACGATTTTCCTGTAGCTTCAAGCAAAGCAGCATTGCAAGTCTTCAATTCTATGGAGGCACCTGAGAACATTGAGGCTGCCTCCTCCCATCCCCTATTATGTCCCATACACCTACATAATTCCTTAATGATCAACATTTTTAAGCAAGTTTTTAATTGAGTCCTATGATAAACTAACATGACACATCTGAAACACAGAAAATTAGCTTTTATGAGGAAACAAAAATAACAGTTTTTGTTTTCCAATAAATTCATTTTGTGATAATTTATGTAAGAGAAAAAACTTCATTGAGAAAAAAAAATTCAAAACATAAATTATCTAAAAATGAGCAAAGAAAATGCCATATAACAACTTCTTGATCCCTAATTGCCTTATATCACAATTTTGTGGTTGGTAGTTATCACCCTCATTTTTTAAGTTATTGTCAAGACCTATCAAGGGTGGGTTGGAGGTCCAGTGGAAACAACATTGTACCATAAGGGGTGCTTTGAAACCACCTCTTTGTCACATATATCTATATAATAAAACAGAAGCAAGTTTGAAATTTTATCCCTACACATTTTCCCCCCTAAATCCATCATCTGTCACTTACCTCCCCCATCATTCCTCTGTTAAAGGCCGCTCCCTCTCCCTCTCTTTTTATTTTTTTTCCTTTTCCTCCACTTCTGACTATCTCTTACCAACGTCAGCAACATCTCTTGAGCCACCACCACTGCCTTCCTATTCTCCCAGGTATCCCTCTTACCTTCTTCTCTCTCACATACACACCCACACAGATATCACCCCTAGCTCTCCCTTTCTACGAACAACCCCTTTTTGCGCAAGCCTCACCCTTTCCTCTTATACCCCCTCTGCACAAACAACTCCATACACACACACACACACACACACAAACACATAACACATGCACAAAACACCCATACCCACACCCTTAACACACTCATGAGTTCTCTCATTCTCTCTTAGCCTACCAGTGCCACTGTCACCAGCAAAGCACAACTGTCACCGCCATAGCACCACCGTCAAGACCACACAACCATCTTCCAGGTATTTCTCTCCCTCCTCTCCCTTCTTTCTGTTTCTCATTGAAATGTTTGCTAAGATGCCCAAATCTCAGACCCCAATCATAATGCCCATGACGTGTTTGTTGAAATTCCTAAGAGACGAGCACAAGCAAATCACACCCACATCCACACCTATTGCTGTCTGCAAGCACATCTCTCTACCACCGTCTTTCTACCTTGCTCATACACAAACAACACACACCCAAACCCCCAGCCATCACACACACAGACCCACACAGCCTCTCTCAGCCAACACAGAAACACACGCAAACAACACACACACACACATACATGCAACCCATTCCTTAGCCATGCACACATATTGTGAGTTTGGGTGTATTTTTTCTATCATTTTAATTTTTTTTATGCAATTTTAAATGTGCTATGAATGCCGTGACTAAGTCAATTTTGAGGTAATTAATTTATGGATAGTGAATTTTGTGAAATTTTGCGAATTGAAGTGTTTGTTGAAATTGGGCTATTAATGTGTTGCTATTGTGTTTTTGCTTTTGAACATTCATGATGTCAACACACAACACACACAAAGAAAATACACAATCAAATTCTAATGTTTTGCTTCGATTTTGATCTATTGTGTTGAATTTTGCCGTGATTTTCTTGGCATTTGTTGCATTGGTGCTAGGTGGTGATCGTTTTGGAAAGATCACCCAAGTGACTTTCAGTTCATTTTTTTCCTTTTCTTGTTTGGTTAGTTGTGTAATTTGGAGTGTTCCTGATTTAATGTAATTTTTTTTTTTTTTATTTAGGGGGTCAAAATATTGGTTGACGACAACTGTTGATGGCTGCCCATCTATACCTCAGATAACCCACTGTGAATTGCTCACCCCAATGCAATTCTATTTGTGTTCAATTCTGGTTTTCAGATTTAGTTGGTTAGAGGTTTTTACTCGGGTTTAACGACCCTGCCAAAATCCTCAATCAAATGGACACCAAAGATGACTTAGGCTTGAGAATTGGGGTTTTGTGGCTTCAATAAGAGGTTAGTTGCTATAAACCAAGCAGTGGTTGTTAGTGTGTTTGCTTTTTAATTGTTTAAGTTTTTCACTTTCAATATTGGAAGGGGTGGAGCATTTTTGGATGAGACTAGCAGCTAAGGCTGCGGTTTTTGGAAAGCAAGTTTGGTTAAAAATTCAAAAAATCAGCTCAAGAAGTTTTAAGCAAATTGTCTTCATGCGACAAAATAGTCAAAATAAGCAAGTCGGCCATTCTTTTTTTGTAGATTCTACTCATATTTGTAGCATACAAAGCTATTAGTTATTTGGAACTAATAGGTTCATTCGAGATGAGGAAGTGTGTTGGGTTTTTTTTTAAATACATTTTCTATAGCAATTGTGATGATGATTAGCTTGACTTGGACTTTTTTGTTTATAGTGGTGGAAATTGTTGATAATTTTTAGAGAAATTTATTGTAAATTTAATTCAAGTTTTCATCCGTTTTTGTTTGTTACCCAGTTTGGTATTTTTATGTTTAATTTCTTAAAGAAAACAAAATAAATTTCTATAAAATAAGATCCTTGCATTAATGAAATGCCTTGATCAATCAAAGTTTATTTTTTTGCTCGAGTTAAAAAAGCCAAAAAAGTGTACTAGGCTTAGATTGAAGGTGAGAATTGAAGTTCCAAAAGTAGAGTTTAGTCTCTTTTGCAATTCTCTTTTATTTTTTTCAACCCTCTTTTCTTTCTTTTTATTTTACGGCTATAAACAGAGCAAAAAAAATTTAAAAATTGGAAAGCTTTTTGGATTTTTTATAGGAATNATTTTTTTTTTATTTTACGGCTATAAACAGAGCAAAAAAAATTTAAAAATTGGAAAGCTTTCTGGATTTTTTATAGGAATCCCATCTGCTGACAAACTTTCATTATTTAAAGTTGTCTTCATTTGTTTTTCTATAATATTTGTCATTTGTTGGGTGCTTGAGTGCTTCTGATTTAATGTAATTCTGATTTAAAATTTAGAAGGTCGAAAAAATGAAACTAAGCTGATTTTGAGTGCCTCTGATTTAATGTAATTCTTTTTAAAAATTAGATGTTCAACCATTGGCCAATGACACCAGTTGGTATCATGTTTTGTTTTATTAAGCTTGTATAAGGAGGCTCATGACTAAGTTTTTGATTATTAATTAATGGGCAGTGGTTTAAGGTCTAAATTCAAGAACTAAGCATGATTTTGATGGGATGTAGCGACAAAGACATGTTTGTTTTCTCTTTTACATGCTTGTAAATTGGGTAAGAATGCTATGAAATGAAGTTTGAAATTGATATTTCTTTGGTTTTTCATGTTACCAAAAATTTTCATCGTTTGCTTAGTGTTACATGCTCTATTTGGTTGTTGAATAC